AACACAGTCCATTCCTGAAACACAAAATGGATTAGGCAGTCCTGTTGCYAAGAAACCATGCAAGCACCTTGATGTAAGTAAGCGCTTTATTGATGGAGAAGAACGGAAAAGTCATTATTTGTTGTTCATTTTGAAGTTTTATTAATGTTTGATAATTTGTACAATATTCATAGGCACCCAATATCTAATATCATTGGGTATCTGAATCATTCAGCCAATAGCAGCATTGGTTTTTAATCTAACTAACAGAATACTTTTTAGGTCTTTGGTTAATAGTCTCCTTCATAGTTACCTGTGCCATCTTGAAAGGGGTAGCCGTGCCTTGTCATTGAAGAGAAACAGCCGTTGAGCATGCAATGATAGATACCTGTGAATAATTGTCTGTAGGTGTGAACTGTCGTCTTGCTTAGATGCAAAGGCACAGCTACCTTTGAAGATGGTGCTTGTAAACCATGAAGAAGACTATTGACTGATTGACAGCTGTCTATTATCAATATTGCACTCTTCTCTGGATTGGTTGTGTTACAATGAAAATGTTGTTTGCTATATTGGTGATATTTTTGATGTTTGTAGACATCATTGGATGATGTAGACAGTTGGTACCATGAATTGATGGCTAATGCTAGTGAAGATTGTGATGCATTGTGGGTGGATGCTGAAGATCCTCTTTTCATGTTATACACAAGGTATATTATGGCAATTATTACTGAAACTGGCTTTAAAAAACAATCCATACAGTTATCAATAAATAATACAGAAAAGGAAAACAACAGAAAGCGATCAAAATGTATTAGGAATTTTAACAATAACTTTAGCAGCGGAGTAGTCTCGCTTCCTTTTGAACCGACAAAAAGTAAAAGTAAAGTAAGTAGCTTTAGCGGATCTTTCTACACTAAGAAAGAATAGATTATTTTATTATTAGATTTTAGTTTGAAAATCTATGAGTGCAATTGATAACAATATTGACAGTTGATAAGATGTTTTTTTATTAATGCAAATGGTCATTTTATGTAGTAATTTGTGATTGTTGTTTGTAATAGTGGTTCTACTGGTAAACCCAAGGGATTGCTCCACACAACGGCAGGATATATGCTTTATACTGCACTTACGTTTAGGTAAGAACTATGAATAATATAATAATAGATAGTTGGTTGGTTGGTTATAG